GAATATTTTACATGGTAAAATATATTATTAATGAATACTTAATAAGGAACAACAACTTTTTTGAGATACTTTGAACTTTTGTAGCATTAATTGAATGTATTAGTGAATTAATTTTTGAATTAATTTCACCCACTACAGATAATCTCAAATCAATGCGTACTGGTGCGTAAAACCACCAAAAAATAAACATTCAAGAGGGGGAATATACAGGAATATAATCAGAGGTTCCTTTTTGCTTTTTTAAAATTGAAAAAAAAGGCAAAAAATTTTCTAAACTCGAATTTTGTCTATCTGGAACATCAGCGGCCGCGTTAAGGTTGCGGAAGTCAGTATCCGCAAGAATGATGCGGAAGTCAGGATCCGCAAGAAAGATGCGGAGGTAAGGGGCTACATTTACAAAGTAGGAGTTACGAAGATTTGACTGTATAAACTGACTATTATTCAACTGTTTTGTTCGCACAATAAAATAAAAAACATGTCCTGTTGACCAAATATATAATAAACGTCTATTTATATTACCAGATACATTGATTTCCTTTGAACAATTGATTTTATTCGCTAGCCTTCGTTATATAATGACGGTTTTAAATATTTAATGAAAGCTTTAAGTGCGAAAGTCTGTTGTAAATGACATGACGATATGACAGAGAAATAATTATTATACCTAGGATATATATAGAGGTAGGTGTAACTAAATGCAATTATACAAAGTGTATACAATCTGCATCTTTACTAATCACGTACCAAACATAAATTTTAGATATTAAAAACGTCGTTTAAAAATTACTGCGCTCTAAACTAAAATATGAACAGTATTTAAATATCCACTTTTCCGTAAATTGATTTTTGCTTTTCTATTTATACTGCAATGAATTGTTTGTTTATTTGTTAATGACGTTTTACTAACGTAAGTAAAATTTAAAAAATTCAATTTCAGCGAAACTTTATTTCCTGTTTACCATACAAAAACCATATTAAACGCCTTAGAAACAAATCGAAATTCATCCATTTTAATACGACATCTTCAAATAATGTCTATCCGCTTTTACACCCAACAAATTAATATAAAAATAAAATAAAACAAAACACAAATATCATGGAAGTTATTCAAACATTTATTGAATAATTTAGACTGATTTTACTTACGTCAAAGAGGTTTTAACTTTTAGCCGATTCCTGTACCATCCCGTTCCGTCATCCCTACTCTCATTCCCAAAATTTCCATTATTTCCTTCACCGCTAGTATCAAAAGTTTCTCGAATCTCAGGAATACTGCAAGTAGCTTCATCTTCGCCTTCATCTCCAATCACGAACCTTTTCGAAGACTTCCTCTTCTTCAACAATGGATGTTGGGGAATCATCTTTTCAGAAAATAGTTCTCGTCCTAGGAGTAATTCAGGACCTTCACTGTATTTATTTGAGTTACACTCACTACCACTTTCACGTGATAAAGTATTTTCAATGGAACTAGTTTGAAAAGAAACGTGAAGATGACTAGGTTGGTTCAGGTTTGAAGCAAAAGCTTCTTCCTGGTGGTCACTTTGAATCAAAGCATTATCTGAATCGTTCAAGCGATGATCTTCTTTTACTTCGACGTTCTCAATTTCGTCAGGCTTTTGCCTCCAAAATAACTCACCGATTCTTTGCAAAATTGTTTTGGTTTCTTGGCCTTTTTGTTGATTATTGTTATCTTGAGGATGATGGCGAGGAGTGGCGGTGACGGAATTGTTACCTCTGTCGCCAAAAAGATACAAAAAGAAATCAACTACAACGTCCATTCGGTAAAGTGTGCGAGCAGGTTACTCTAAGACTTGTAAACAAACTAAATCAAAAGTCGTCATGGTCAAACGACGATGATATGAAACTGAAGGTCAAGCTAAAGACCTGCTGCACGGCACAACAGATTAATTTGGCTGTTTTTCCATCAGTTTCACTAATGACGTATTTCAATAACGATTAAATAAATAAAATGATAATTTAGAAATTCTGGTCAACCTTGACTTAGGACTCTGTGGAGGACGAAAAGTACATTTACAATATATAAAAATTTTTAATTGCAGTACAGACAGTAATTATACTGTGCTAGTGTGTGTGCTTTTTAAAACATCATTGAAAATGCGCATATATTACAAAAATGACAAGATATTCAAGATTAAAACCATTTATTCGCACTGAGGAGATCGAGGAGAACATTTGGGGGTTGCAGAAAAATTGATTACAGGTCAATCAAAAGCATACGAAAGTTCGTACAGTTGAATTCGGTTATAACGAGCACGAAGGGTTAACGATTTATTATTTTACTATCATCATCATTAATAGGTTTTATAAAATAGCATTTATTTCAAAAATTCCAAAACAATATAGATAAGAGTTTTTAAACGACATTCATGAAATATTACTTCGTTGGACTTGCCAATTTTCGGTTCACAAAAGTGTTCGCTAAAACCATTTGATTATAAACGGTTCGTCATGTTCCAATAAGGAAGGAATTCAATTTTGTTCTTTAAATTTCGTTTATTAAAACCAAGCGTTCGCTATAACCGGTGCTTGTGTTGTTGTAGCCGAGTTTGACTGCAGGTAAATATTTTTAATATTACAAAATTAGATAAGCTTTTAATTTTCATTGTTCAAATTTGTGATTAAATAATTAATTACCTAATATAAAAATATT